TTGTTAATCTTTGACGAGGTCTGATGGCCACGCTGCCAATTTGCATGTTATCTCTTGCTGATACTGTGATGGGCAAGTTTTGGATGCTCTGGGCAAGTTTTGGATGCTCTTGATGTCCAGCGTAGCCTGTAGCGCAGTAAGATTCTTATCAACATAAATGTTTATATTTGGATATGAATACTTCCTTAATTTTATATTTTTTTCATTTTCCCTTCTGCTTCAAATAAGTTTTTATTATACTATTTTTTTCAATTAAATAAAAATTTTATATATTTCAAAATTTTAATTAAACTAAAAACAAAAAACCTGTAATAAAGCACAAGCATCACACTAGTTAAGATTAAAAGAGGAAATATTTAAATTTAAATTTAATTGATTACGCTTTAATTGTTGACTATTTGTGTTATGCATGGAGAATTATAATTTTTTATTTTTCAAAGTTACAACCTATTTAATCAAAAACTACAAAATATAAAAAAGTAGAATTAAATAAAGAAAATTTATTTTTAAATTTTACTATCATTCATTATTATAAAGTTAATTTATTAAACCATGATAAGCTAAAATAATTTTGTGTTTATGGTGTGATTTGTTGGTTAACATTTATTGACTTTATAATTTTATCATTTTTAAAATTTTTATGATATATGTTTTTGTTACTTGATTTTGTATTTTTGTTTAATAATATTTGTAATTTTATCATAATTTGCTCATTGGTTTTATATTTCTAGTCATTTTTATTTATATTGTATTTATAATAATTTTTATATTTTTTATAGTTAAAATTTTTTGGCTTTCTATAATTTTGAGATAGAGGAAAACACCATTCAAAACCTTTTTATTTACTTTGATAATAATTTCCTGAGACAAATAAAAATACCCTTCTAAACCTTTTATTTTATCTTAAAGTACTTGGTAATTTTTACTATACCTTACTTTTAAAATATTTAGATTATAAATGTCTTTAAATATTATATAAGTTGTTAGCTAGCTTTTGAAATTTTACTTGAAAATTTGAAGTTCAAATTTTAAGACGAATGAGGTATGATTTATAAGTAAGAAACAATTACTTTTTTATATATAAATCAAAATCATATATACTAAATAAATAAACATTATATTCATATTCGATACATAAGATGATGATAGAATATAATGATAATCATCTTATATTATATTTTATTTATATCTAAAGAAAATGATAGGATTATAAAAAGAATTAATCATACTCTTAATTTATGATTATTCAATTCTCTTAAAATTGAGAGATTATTTTTAATATATACACTTAAAAATTTCATCAATAATTTAAATTATATAATTTTTTAGAAAAAATAATTTTGATTAATAAATAAATTATTTTATTCTAATCTTTGCACTTATCAAACACAAGATAAGATTATATTATTTATTTTAATCATATTTATAATATCATTTTATCTTATATTATTATAATCTTATGTATATATATATATATATATATATAAACGTGGTAGACATTTTTTTTTTAATTTAATAAGCGGAATTGGACAATTGTAGCATGTGGTTGCTTCTACTCGCCCGTTTATACTACACCCTTTGTTACATAAATAATGTCTTAATTTGATTTTTAAGGGGCAAACTTTTTTAATGTTGCCTTCCTTTTATTTTAAATACTTCAATGAGAAAATGCTTTCTAAAAGCCTTGAATGAGAAAGTTTTTCAATATAAGTTTTTACAAAATTAATTTAATAATATACTTAAAATATTAATGATTAAAATTGATAAAACTTTAATGTAAAAAAATCTAACCAGACATAACTCATGAGATGAAAAGAATATTTTTATCTTTTATATACTTCTTTTATTTAGGGTTATAAATAAATTGAATATTAATAAAAGAATATATGTTTGTAGTTTGTTTGTTTATTTTTTAAGATATTTAGCTTAGTTCTTATTCAAAAAGAAATCTCATTTGTTTGTTCGAGTTCGATTCATTAATAGTATGATATTTAAGTTCAATTTGTATTTAGTTTGATTAAGTTAAATAAATTTGTCTTAAATATTAAACAAACACGTTCATGAACATATATAAACGAGTATATTCATAAATAATGAATAAATAATAATCAAATAAATTTAAATAAACAAACATTAAACGAATATAAACAAATCCAAACAAATATAAATGAATTTTAAAATATGATTAGAGTAAAAGATAAAAATATAATTTTATTAGTATTATTATAAACAAATATTAAATGAATAGTAAACGAACGAGTTTTAAACGAATTTTAAACAAATTTATTTATGAATATAAATGAACCAAACAAATATATATTTGTATTCAGTTTGTTTAATAAATAAATAGAAATTGAACATATTTATAAACAGTTCATCTCGATTTGTTTATGTTTCTACTTTTATTATAAATTTAAAATTTTTTAATTGGTTAAATTTAAATATTTATATTGAATTTGAGAAGTTGAAACTTATTATTGGGCTTATTGTTTTATTTCATATATCTTTGAAATTTTATTTTAAGTTTGGTATATTAAAATTTGTATTAGATATTTTATTTCATTGAAAATTATGATAGCTACATATTACATATAAATTGATAAATATGTAAGATTTACAAAATAAATAAATAAATAAAGGAAGTAATATCCTTTCATCTACCGGTCTTATTATCATACCTAATTAAATTGCAATTTATATAAAAATAATTTTAGAAAATCAAATAAATCAAGATGTTGGAAACAAAGTTTCCAACTTAAGATACTCCAACAGCCAAAATCCAAAATGTGTGACGTCAATTTGAGATTGGGAAACATTCATTTTTCTCCTATGATGTATGATGTTGAGTTCTCCAATCTGTGACAAAGAAAAAAAAATCAAGTGCAAGATAAGAATTGTGTGGGTAAAAAACATACCACTTGATTTTTGGTGATGATTTACAGGTACGAGAAATTATATGACAAAAGCAAAACACCAAGGGTTGTCTCTATTTCATTATTATTTTTTGTGTCAATTTAACTAGTAGCCGTTACAAATGCGCTTTGAAAGTTTCTTGCATTTTGTTGTCAAAAGCCCCACATTAGGCAAGAAGTTTTCACATTTCCAAGCCATTGTCACCAAAGGTTCCGTCGCCTTTAGTACCATTTTTGTTTTGTAGTTCATACTTTTCCCTTTTCTTTAATTCTAACCACAAATTGTCTCCTAGATAAAAAATTATTTATTGTCCAATTCTAATTTGAAAATATTGTATAAAATAAAGTTTTTTTTTTTTATGGAATGAGGAACAATGATAAACCAAAAGTAGAATGGAATGAGTTTTTTTTTTTTTTTAATTATAATTCCCCAAATCGAACAAAAAGAATAAGGTGAAGTAAATGAAATTTGTTTGTAATAAACCAAATGAAGTAAACATGAAATTTAATATTAACAATTTTTGTGAAAAATAAAAATCATAGCCAAACTTTACCCAATTTAAAGCAAATTGGGCTGCAAAATTTAAACTGGTAGCATGGCCCACGAACAAGCCCATGACTAAAGAATGCACTTTCAGAGGAAGCAAATTTAATATTAGTGTAAAAATTATTATATTATAATTTATGTTAATATTTTAAATATAAAATATATTTTTTATTTTTATTAAAATTTTAAATCATATTAATTTTATTTTTTTCGCATCATATTATTTTGTTGATATTTATTTCACCTAAGAGGTTGACCTATTCCTTAAAACGCGGCAGCGGTACGTATCAATACGAAGAGTTTCACCGTAGGAGTAATAAAATAGGGTTAAAGTATTTATTGGAAAGGGGCTGCCAATGTCTTATGTTTAGGATTTTAATAGGGCATCCAAAGACAAATTCCTCTAATTTTTGGACTCTTATCACTTTGTCACCTTCTCATAGCCGGCAACTATATGTAACACACTAATTTCATCCATAATCATCCATCATTAGTGATTAATCTTCAATAAATTTTTTTTTTCAAGTGGTCGGTTGTAAAGTACTTAGGTTTAGATAATAAATATATATGAATTATAATGTTCAAAATGAATCAAGTAAAGATACATAATTTTTTTTAGTACTAAAAAAACTAGAATCTGAAAATATAAAAAAATATTATAAATATTAAATTTTAAACTTAAAACTTGCTTAAAACATGAACAATTACATATATGTAAATCACCGATCATTCAAATTATTTATTAGGTGTAATGAAAAAAGCCTTCGAATTATGATTGAATTCTTATTTAAGTTTTTTTTTTTTTAATTTAGATTACTTTAGCCCTCAATATATTATTTAATGTCAAATAAGAATTCAATTTGGATGGAAAATGCAAACGTGTTAACGGTCCAATTAACTCACATACCTTAGAATAAGTCATGCCCATAGTCAAGTCATAATTTTCCATCTAAATTAGATCATTTGACACCGAATAATAGATTGAGGACTTGGCTGCCAATCATAAAAGAGTAATGGCTTAAGTGAGAATTTTATCATAATTTGATGATTTATTTTATTGTTAAGCCTGTTTCTTTTAGGATTTAGATCACAAAGAAGGAAACATAAAGAAAGAAAGGAGAATACTTAAGCTTGCTTCAATTAATTAATACAACTACTTTTAAAAATTAACATTTAATAAGTCTGAAAATCAAATTTTAACCCTTCTTTCCCTATTCCATTATTCTCATACTGAACTTTCAATGTATAAAAAAATTTAGAAAGATGAGTCAAAGGACAAAGGAGAAAATGTGTATGCTGACCAATTATGTTTTAGAATTGAGGTTTTTTTTTTTTTTTTGTCTTAATTTTTTATTCATTATACATTTAATAATATCATCCAAATGATACTGAGGAGAAGTCGAATATACTTTTTCTTTTTAATTGAGAGGCAGGAGAAGATGCTGAATGCCCCATTGGAAATAACGAAGCTACATCATTAATCTTGTGCTTATCGACGCCAATAAATTGGAGAGTAGAAACGAAATCATCAGCTTACACTATATCCTATACAGCACACAAAGTTTAGTGTAGGCCATTTGCTATAGCTTAGCAAATTCATAAAAAAAATGCCAGTTGAAAAGTCTTGGACCGCCCCTGTCAAGGAAGAATCCGGTGATTCTCAGCTGCTGATCAACCGGAGTGGCTTTGATTCGCGTACCGGAATCTATGGTTCAGTCTTTCAACTTAGTGACCAACTCGAAGTCCCCACCGATCTTGACCTTGGCATTGCCTCATTTGTGTTATCACAGTTTCCTCATCCTCATGTTGCTGAATCAAGAATTGCGCTCATTGATTCAGCTACGAACCAGCAACTCACATATGCTCAACTCCATCGATCAATTCGATCCCTCGCCTGTGGCCTTTACCACCTCGGAGTCCGCAAAGGCGACGTTGTGTTCGTTTTGTCCCCAAACTCACTCTTGTACCCAACAATATGTCTTGCAATATTTTCAATTGGTGCAATACTCTCACCTGCCAATCCAATTAATACCCCTTCGGAAATAGCTAAACAAGTACTTGACTCGGGTGCCAAGTTCGCAATCTCATCTCCTGAGGAGTTACATAAACTCGTACAAACTGGGGTGTTTACAATTGTCACATCTCGTCATCAATCAAATGATGATTCTTTATCGATAGAAGCATTAATTGAACGATGTGATCCACGTGAATTACCAGAAATCAAGGTTAAACAGTCAGATACTGCAGCTATACTGTACTCTTCGGGTACCACCGGAAAAAGCAAGGGTGTGATGTTAACACATTCAAATTTCATAACAACGGTTAGACTTGTGACATGGTATGCAGAAAGAACATCATCCCAAAATGATATATTTTTGGCGTTCATACCGATTTTTCACATATATGGGCTAGGATTTTTCGGGCTGGGACTATTTTGTTCTGGTGTCACGACTGTGTTAATGCAGAGATTTGAATTACAGGCAATGGTGAATGCAATTCAGGCTTATAAAGTCAACAACCTTCCTGCTGTGCCCCCAGTGATACTTGCCCTGGTAAAGTATTGCAAAGGTAATAGTAGCCTGTCAACCCTGAGAAGGATCGGTTCAGGGGCTGCACCCTTAAGTAAGGAATTGATTGATGCATTCAGGGGACAGTTTCCATGGATAGAGATCGGGCAAGGCTACGGACTAACCGAAAGCTGTGGTGCCACCTCAGTTTTCGTGTCCGACGAGGATGCTAGAGCTCATCCAGGATCATGTGGGATGCTGGTGCCAAAATTTTTTGCCAAGGTGATAGATATTGAAACAGGTTTGGCTTTGCCACCTTGCAAGGAAGGGGAGCTGTGGTTAAAAAGTCCTACAATTATGAAAGGGTACTTGAGAAATGAGGAAGCAACGGCCGCAACAATGGATAAAGATGGGTGGCTTAAAACTGGGGATCTTGGTTACTTTGACGAGGATGGTTTTCTTTATATTGTTGACAGAATAAAGGAGCTAATCAAGCATAACGGGTATCAGGTAATTTTAGAAATAAGTACTGGTTTTAACCCAAAATTTAACTCAATGGATTTCTACATTCACCCTTAAAAGGTGGCTTCCAATTGAGATTCGAATCCTAGTGCCTAACAGCTGCAACCTTTTTTGTAAAAAAAAAAAAAAATCTAGTTTTAATTAAATCTAATTGCATTTTGAAGAACAAATTTACATTTGATTAATTGTTGCAGGTGGCTCCAGCAGAATTGGAGGCAGTGCTTTTGGGCCATCCCAATATCCTGGATGCAGCAGTTATACCGTGCGTGCCATGAGCGAATTATTATATGGATGTGTTTATGTGTGTATTTGCATGTGTATTTGACACTGTTTTAATTTTGCAGGGTTGAAGATGAAGAATCAGGGCAGATACCAATGGCATATGTTGTAAGTGCAGCTGGTTCCGAACTCACTGAGGAAGAAGTCATTCAATTTGTAGCTGCCCAGGTAGGTCTCTTTGAACTCTCTCATCTTCTTTACCCATATAGCTTACATCGGTTAGAAGTTAAGCTTTCATTGGCAAAGCCTCATATTCTAATCCAAAGTTGGACGTGTCCTAATGGCACTACACGGTTAGAATGTTATTTTTTAAAGATAATTATATGAATCAATTAATTTAAATTTTGATTTTAGTGATTAGAGTTTGAGATTTCATAATTTCATAATGAAAGTTTCCTGAAAATGGACCGGATGGAAAGTTTACCCTTTATTTAGTGACTTAAAATTATTATATACTAAATAAAAAGTAAAGTAGATTGCAACCTTTAGGAAAACTTGTTTGATGTGTATAAAAATTTTCAGGTGGCTCCTTACAAGAAAGTGAGAATAGTGGAATTTATAAATGTCATCCCAAAGTCAGCAGCTGGCAAAATCTTGAGGAAGAAGCTGATTTTACAAAGGCAACAGCACATTCTCTCAAAGTTGTAGCTTTTATAGTTGAGCCATATATTGTACTAGTTTACAAAAGCTACACAAAATTATGATGAAATGGTAGTAGCTTTTTCTTTTTTTTTTTTTAAGAGAGATGCAATGTGTTATGGGAGGGGAGAATAAATGGATTGTTCCATTTTTAAACAATTATGTTATCTATGTATTTAGGATTATTTGTTATTAAGTTATGTTTATGTAAGAAAATTATTTAGGATTTTATCTATATTATTTATATGTTACTATTTAGATAAAACTAACTTGTTTTAGTGGAGATAAACATCTTAAAATAACAATATATATTTAATCATTGATGAAGTGATATTATATAATTCATTGATAGTGTATGAAATTTATACACGGATAGTACATCAAATATAAACTTGTTAATATTTATTGCACTATCAATGAAATATTTCATACACAGTCATTAAATCAGATAATATTATCTTATTAATAAAAAAAATTTTAATTTGTTTATTTTTTAAGAGCTTATAAAAATTTATATTTAATTATTGATGAAGTTACATCATTTAATCATTGACAATGTATAACTGACAGTATATTAAATATAAAGTTATTTAATTAAAGTTTATATTTGATTCACTAAATAAATTTATATTTAATATACTATTAATATATAAATTTTATATATTATTAATAAATTAAATAATATCATCTCATGAAAAATAAATAAATAAGATTTTTTTATTTTAATTTTAAAGACTCATAAAAATTTATATTTAATCATTGATAAAATGACATATTTTGATTCATTGACCGCATCTTTGGTTGGTATAGAAAGTCACTCCTTTACTGATCTATTCCATGAAGAAAGGCTATTTCGGTCATTTGCTTCACCTATTATCAATTCCATCGAAAAGCTATCCAAATCATTTTCCTCGAAAGGCCTGACTAGCTTCTACCCGGGACTCCGTCTAAGAATGACTACTCTGTAGACATAAGGAATAGCCAAAATATTTTTTTTCCAAACACAGTTTAACAGTTAATGAGATCACAACTTAACCTTGAGCCATTTGATAGCAAGTACCTAACCACATCACTCCGGCAAACTTTCAGACAAGTTCTCGATGAACTTTCTTTAAACAAATATATAGATTCAGACATGAAGAGGTTGGATTTTGATCTATGGAGCACTAGTATGACCTCCCAAAAGCTACAGCTGGACATCAATGCGCTAAGTTGGCGCCCATAGATACAAATCTTGTCTGAAGCAACCACCTATCATCGGCGAATAATTTCTCGCCAGATCTCGCAATGCTGAATAAACACATCAACAGCCAGATCCGACGATCAATAGCGGTGCTCTGACCACTAACCCAAGTCGCTGGCATGGTCAAAACCGACCTAGATGACATTTGGACGACGATTTCCTACTGATGGCAAACATATTTTATCCAATCATGTTTGGAAGCCTAGAATGAAAAAAAAAAAAAATTAGAATAACATAAATAGTTACACAATTTTAAAGGTCTTTTTAAAATAATCACTTAAATATTAATTTTTTTAATTTAATTACTTAAATTTAAATAAATATTTTTTATCGCTTAACGTTAATAATTAAGGGCTGCTGACATGACATTGCAACGTAGTAGTTAGGTGCCACGTTAACCAATCCGATTCTTTTCTCCTTATCCTTTTTTCATTTCCTTCTTTCCTATTTTTCTTCTTTTTTTTTTTTTTGCTAAAACTCATTATTTTATATAAACAATAAAAACCAAAATTTTCATTACCTTCAATTTCTATTTTTGTTTCTCACTCTAAAACCTTACTTCTTTCTCTTCTCTCTCTCTAATCTTTTAATCGGCAACCAACATTTTTTCCAGAATCTGGTGACTACCCATTGCTAGCGTCACCTTGCATCACTGATCATTGCCGTTCACCGGCAGTTAGAAAACCCATTAAGTTTCTTTTTCAATTCCTCTGCACCTCTCTGAGACTTCAGTAAGCTTAGATTTTTTAAAATCCTCTCAAAATATCTTAGATCTAGATCAAAAGCAAAAGATTCCCTATTGCCAAAGCCACCATCACCTTGCCGAATGCCCAAATTCCCTTCCTTCTTCTACGTCCTTTTTTCGATCTAGAAACCTTAACAAGAAATCTCAAACAATTAAGCTAAGATTACAAAATACCTCTCACAACTCCATTATTTTCTGTTACTTAAAAAGCCCAAAACCACAGATACCAAAAATTCTCAAGAAAAACTAATAAAAAAAACCCTTAGATCGCCTTTTTTATGTATATTTGCTGCTAAATTTTTTTGTGAATTTTGTTGTGAATGGCGTCAGATTGCTAAAAATTGTGTCTGGATTGTTGTTTATTATGGCTCTATTGTGTAATTAGGTCTCGTTTCTGTATATGATTGTGCTTAGATTTTTTGGGTCAATTGATAGTTTATGCCCAAATTTTGTTGTTGATGCTTGCCTTTTTCTGTCTATTATTGATAGAAATTGTGTATTTGAATGGTTTATTTAGTTTCAATTGATTGTAGCTTCGTTTGTGTTGAGGCTCTTTGCTGTATGATTGAAGATTGAATTTGCTTCACTTGGGGACTGTTTTTTCCAAATTGCTCCAATGATTATTGTTGGGTTTTAGAGAGAAAAACTAAAGAAAAGACAGTGAGAATGGGGAGGAGTGAGAAGGAAAAAGAAAAAAGTGGAAAAACAAAATGACTTTTTTATACATGGACCATGGTTAGCTAATGTGATAGCTAACAGTTGGTGTGGTATATCCGGTGAGCATTCCATTAGATATTAATGGCAGGGTAACAAAAAAAAAAGCACTTACTCGAAAGATAGTGACTAAATCAAAACGTTTAATAATTTGGTGACCATTTTAAAAAGATTCATATATTTGACTGATTATTGATGTTATTTACTCAAATAAAACACAATAAAATAAGAAAATGTTATTACAAGACAATAATTTTTTTTGGTAGGAAGGAAGTCATAAAAAATAATTTTTATAATTAATTTAATAAAAGGATCAAATAGTTTTTTGAACTTATTTTAGCTACAATTTTTTATCTAACCAAATATATTAATACTAATTCCTATTATATTCCATTCCAATGAAACGAACATCATAACGGCTATTACTACTTTTTTTTATTTCCACAGAACAACTATTACATTTTTTTACTTTCTTTTATTTCCACAGAACAACTATTACATTTTTTTTTTTGAATAACCATTACATTCTCTCCTGTTTTTTTATTCTGTGAATCAATCGAGATGTGATATTATATAAAATTTATAAATTAATAATACATCAAATATAAATTTATTTAATTAAAATTTATAGTTGATATATTATTAATGTATAAATTTTATAAATTATGAATAAATAAAATAATATTATTTTATTAATTAAATTTTTTAATAAAAAATTGTTTATTTATTTTAAAGGCTTATAAAAACTTCTATTTAATCATTAATTAAATAATATCATCTAATTAATTAATAATATATGAAATTTATACATTAAAAATACATCAAATATAAATTTATTTAATAAAAATTATATTTAATAAATAATATATAAAATTTATATGCTGTTAATGAACCAAATGATATTATTTTTTAAGAAATTAAAAAAAATTTGTTTATTTATTTTAAACTATCATTTTTCTTACAGAATAGCAATACATGCTATAAATGCTCAGAAATTATGCATTATAGAATTGCTTCTCGGCAAATTACATCGGGACCATAGAAATTACAAGAACATGTACTTCACATACAGGAAAATCTCAAGATTCAACATAATTGGATAAATGGTTCAGGCAAAAAACAAATAAAATCAAGAGTACAAAACTTGCACAGTTTAAAGGAGACAGAACAGCTAGCATTGAATCAATAAATAAATAAATTGCCCACTCAACCTAGCTAGAAATATAACAATTTCTTAAAGACTATATTCTTGTAACCAGTTCAGAATCTATCTCATCAAGAAAATTTTGCAATGGCGAAACCTGAAAGCCCACGAACACTTATTAAGAACCGTAACCTAGGTATCTAACGCATCTAAGCTGCATACACAATCTAAACATTATTCAAGTAGATTGCTACGATATTTGCTGGGTTGGATCATATCTAGTCCGTTGCTTCAGAGATACTAGAGAAACCAATAGTGGCATGATCTTTCGTTTCAATTGATATGCAACTTCTATGTGCCTCCAGCTATCCACTGCCAAACACCACCAGAACCTTGCCTCTGGGCAGCTGAGAGCTCCATCTCCTGTTCCAGTGCTGACTTTTGTCTCCTAAGTATTTCCACTTCTTTTTCTATGGACTGTAACGATTCCAGCATCTTCTGTAGTTCTGCAATTTGAGCCTAGACAAATCAACTCGTGTTAGATCTTGAGTCAGTAAAGATAAAAAAGGAATAAGTTAAAAAGGGTAGAATGAAGTGAAAAGATATGAAAGTTGGAAAACCTCGAGTTTAAAGCATCTTGATCTCTCCGATATCAGCTGACCTTGGACAGATTGAAGTTCCTGCCAGACAGCAGCAAATTAAATATAACAAAAACTTTAAACTGATTGGTGACGATCACTTTTATGAGTCACTTCAAGAGCATACCTTGGATAATTCAGTATGATTACTATTTAATTCATCAATCTTCTCCCGCAGCCCTGAGTTTTCTGCCCTGACTTCCTCAATTGATAACTCCAAGGTCTTTTTCTCTTCTTTAATTGCATCAATTTCAACATTTATATCCTTTTTAGGAACATTGTTTTCAACTCCATTAAAATTCAGATCTATTATTTGTGGGAAATCCAACTTTTCAGACTTTGCCAAGGCATATGCAGCAGTAACAGAAGCTGCTGCTGCAGCTGCAGCTGGTGACTGGAAAATCTTGGGACGAGATGATTTTCTTGGTTTGAGTTTCATAACAAAAACCTATTAACAGACAGCCACAAAAATATCAGGGAAAAAGTAAAATGATGCATATTAGCATAGATTCAGCATTGATTCTACATAAAAATGATTTTAAATAAACTGTTTTTAAGCAATATACCTCGTTATTGTATTTGCCATTGTATCCACCAAAGGCAACCAAATGCTTCTCTCCATCAATTATTGCAGAGCAAACACTTAGTCCCTGCATTTTAATTGACAATTAGATTAGATCACATATGCGCAAAACTCAAAAGTCTAAAAGGTTCCCGAAAGAAATTCATTCATACCCAAAGTTAAATTGTTTATATAAGAAATTGAAGCATACGACATAAAAATGTTAGATAACTAGCACACATATACTTCTTCGACAACAATCGTGAAAACTATAGTTAGATGATATTTTAGTCTGATAAAGATTCTTGAAAAATAAGCCTGTTAATGGGATCACGAAACAGGAATTAAAAACAAAATGAACTAGACAAGATAAAAACTACAAAATTTACTGTTTGGGAGCGTTGAATACCCAACAGTGGAAATACCACATTTAGAAATGGAGATTCAACTTTCCTCAGCTTTCAGACAGCATATGGGCTATCACCAAAGTTATTTTAAAGGAAAAAACTCAATCTACAGCCACATTCCAAATATTTGTCTAAGTAAAAATTCAGCTAGAAATCACAAATATTCAGTTCAAAGGCACAGAGTAGTAACCTCACTAGCAAGTGGATGCCTTTCCTTCAAAGTTGTCAAGGTAGACCAAACTAACTTAGACATATTTAAGGCAAGAGTCTCCAGGCAACCTGTAAAGATAAAAGTGAATTAGCACATGAGATTCCAACATAAATAAGATTACATGAAAGATTACATCAAACGTACCTTTGCTGTTATCTCCACCACCAACAATATACCACATTTCATCAATGGAAATACCAGCATGACCTGCCCTAGGACTCACCAAATCACCCTGAATTTGTGGTTGGGACCACTCCATCTGCATGGCAATCCAGGTTCAACTTCAGTCAATCAAACCATTCAGAGTACTTAAGCAGAACCATAAGTTAATTATGATACCAGAATAACAATATCTATAGCTTATTATCATTAAGAAGTTTGCTTCACATGCTGCAGTTCATATTTCTCTAAGATGGAAAGACTAATCAAATCATAGAACTGGTACTAATTGCCAAGGAAGATACTATACTCAGCAGAATTGCTTAAATATATTGAATCAAATATAATGGTAAGAAGATCTCCAGAATAGGATCCAGACCTTTTTCTTTTGAGACAAAACAAAGATACTATCATTAAGGTCAAGATAAAGGTAATGGTACTTGTATGAAAATGTATCAGCATCTGTTGTGCAATTTATGTAGTCTGGTAGAAGGTTGGGGATATATTGGAAGAGTTCTTTGTGCCTTGCAGAATATATTTCTCCCACTTCAACAGGCACACATGAGCACACATTTAAACTTTTCAGCTATGCCAAAATGGCACTCAGATGATCTCAGGAGGACATGGTAGTTACAAACGTGTTTGATAAGCATTGTACACATTATTCATCATGGAAAAATGTGAGCACTTACTCAAGAAAGAAAAAGTTGACTATTAATGGCATTCAACTCATACCAAAAATAAAATAGAAAATAAAACCCATAATCAAAAAATTAATTCCAACACTTACAGTCTGCAAGTCCAATAAATGAAGATCATTGAAGAATATTGAATGAGAGCAGCCACCAAAAATCAAAAGGTAGCGCTCAGCATGCACTGTAGCTGAGTGATCAAATCTTGGAGCTGGGGGTGTCTGCCTATCAAATTACAAGAAAGTGATGCAGACTACTTCTACAATTGTGAAGAATAACTAACAATAACAAGCAGAAAAGATGCTTACATTGCCTCCACCATACTCCAAGTCATTGTCTCTAGATCGAGAACATGTACATCATTCAGCAATTTCCTGCTCCTGTCTTCTCCACCAAACACTAGCAATTTAGAACCTACCAGTGTCACAGAATGACCCCCACGTGCTACCTGGAACATATAGCACAACAAACCAAATTCCCATGAGTGAAGACTGCCACAATAGGAAAGAATGAATTATACCCCTCTTAAAGAAAATATAACAACTGAAAATAAAAATTCAAAGGAGGACACAATAAAACAAATAGGCAAAGCATAGAGGAAATGGCAAATTTATTTTTTTTCTTTTTTCTTAAAAAAAAAGGAGTAATAAAGTGAGTTACCGGAATTTTTCCTGAGGTCTCCAAGACTCCACAAACACGTGTCTCTAGATTCATGAAATGTACTACAAGAAGTCCATTAACCATCATTAGATTCCAAACAATGTACAAAATTTCATATGCCACCAACCATTAAATAGAACACTAGATTTGCTAACTTCTACAGCTGTAATTATACCAAAATGACCCTCAGAAATACAAACCTATCATGGCTTCAGAAGATTTCTTCGAATGTCCACCAAGAAGAAGAAGTTTATTTTCCCACTTAATCTGAAAATATATACAATATTAAATACTTAATCAAAGTTCTATTAAGTTGCTTCATAAATGTATGGAGTTCAATTAGGCAAAAAAGAATATGTCTATTGGGATGGTGTATCTGAAGTCATACCACACTGTGATCTGAAGTGCCTGGAAGAACTTCCCATAAGCTAGTGTCCTCTGATTTATCAGCATTAGGTTCAATCTTCAGTTTCAGACTAGACCATGTCAAACTTCTAAGATCAAATACCTGCAAAAGTAACCAAAGAGCACATTACAAACAAGAAAGTATTTCAATGTGCATAAACTGAGGTCTTGTACTAAAACCTGAATGTCAGACAGGTATCGACCATTACGACTGCCTCCAGTGATATATAACTTCTCATCAACCACTGCTGCAGCATGCTACAGTGAAAAAGCCAAAAAATATCATCATAAGCATCTAGCTATAGAATAATAGAAAAAAAAGAAATTGGTAAAGGAAAGCAGAAAAAGTTAAAGGTAAGAGCTTGAAAGAAAATAAATAGTATAGCAACCTTATTAATGGTTAACAAACATGATCCAACAGCCCAAAAGAGAGAGAAGATATAAAACGACGCAACCAATATGATCTTGTTCATGCTTTACAATTTAAAGCAAAATACCTTGTACCGAGCAGAGGGCCGTGCACCAGAAACTGGGAGTGCTACCCACTGCTCATAAGCCAAATCTGAAGGCCAACTACTGATATCCATGTCTTTTTTAATCTCTTCTGCTTGCATAACAGCTGTTTGTATGTCAGTCAAGTTCTTCAATGGCAAAATGTAAATGATCGCTTAATCAAAGGGAAACTAAACTCATAACTCATAAGTTTCTAGAAAAAGGGAGTGAAGTGGAAAATGGATTGTGGAACATGGTAGAATTTTATAATCCTGTATATAAATTCTGGTGTCAGTGGAAAAATGGAGAGGAAACAAATTTCTAGAGCAATTTTTAGAAAAATCGCTTCCAAACAAGACCTCAATCTTAAGACTTAGCAGAGTTTTTAAAAATCATACACATCATCATTTGATCCAAAAAAAAATTGAATATGGTAAAACTTATTACAAATGATAGTGGTATCATCCGTAATTGAACAATAAATGAATGGCTTCGTGGAAAGGCTAGAGGAAGCATGTGCCATGAATATGACCAGAGTATACTCGCTAAATTAAGGGCAAGTCACTCAAAAGAGACCCAATAAACCAAACTAAAAGATATTAAAAACAATTTTCCATTAACATTAAGGGTGTAAACAAACAAAGCTTTCGACAAATTGTTCGTGAACATGTTTGGTTTCTGTTCGCTTATGTTTGTTTATTAATAACAAACAATCTTGAACAACATTTTTATGTTCGTTTATTAAACGAACTGAACACGAACAGAGGTTAGTTTGTTTCATTTATGTTCGTGAACAAGCTCATTTAAAGTTCGTTTAAAACTCATTCATTTATTGTTCGTTTGTTATTCGTTTGCTATTCGTTTATAATAATACTAATAAAATTACATTTTTATCCTTCACCTTAATCCTATTTTAAGGTTCGTTTATGTTTGTTTGGGTTCGTTTATGTTCATTTAAGGTTTGTTTAAATTTGTTTGGTTATGATTTGTTTATTGTTCATGAATATATTTGTTTATATATGTTCGTGAACATGTTTGTTTAATATTCATGAACAAGCTTGTTTAACTTAATTGAACGAATATGAACCGAATGCGAACAACCTATTATTTAAATGAACGAACATGGACGAACAGAGTAATTTTCTTAAAGAACACGAACCAAACACAAACACCTCTAAAAATAAACGAATAAACCACAGACATGTGTTCGTTCGTTCATGTTTGGTTCATTTACAGCCCTAACTACCATAAAGATACCAATTTCATAGGCGGCTTATAAATATATCTAACAATATCTACTTATTAACATACGAAAAACATTTTAGCAGGCTAATAAACTTGTCAATCTTAACTTGATAATAATGTTTTGGGCTTTAGGCAGAATTCTAGCTACGATAATCCACTTCCAAACACCAATCTAATACAGAAAATACTATAATATGATTATTATGTTTGTTCAAAAGGAACTTGATCGAAACATTTCTTCTGAATTCTTCAATTCAACTACAAATTACTCTACGATTCTATCGATCACCTTGCAAATTTTGCCATACTATTCAAACTCAACCAACCTAAAGTTTTCAAAGACAAAAAAAATCATAAAATTGTTGTAAGCAAACACTAATAAAATGCAAAAACAATAGCTAGCTCTAAATTCAAAGCAAATCACATACTCCTTTATAATTAGCTACTATCTGATGATTCAATGTTATATATCCCCTGTTTAGTTGCAAAGAAAATGCAGGAGATCAAGAAATAACAGTAATTCGTAACTCTCCACTTAAATTAACCAGATAAATGTTGTTTGAGGTCAACACACTTCCATTTTCTTGAAACAACGAATTCAATTTCCTTTCGTTTACTCCCATTTTTCTCAGCAACCAAACAGAACACTACAAATTCAACATTCCAACGGAGATCTAAAACTTTAAGATACAAATTAGAATTAAAATCTAAAGTAAAAGGATTAAACCTGAATTATGCAAAATTATGGGGAAAAGAATTCAGAGCCATTGATTTTGGAGAACAAGATCTGAGAATTTGTTTAAAGAAACGGGGATCGGAGAAGGAGGGCAATGCTAGGTAAGATCAGAGGGTATCGATTTTCCGATTGGACGAAGAATACAACACCAGCCGTTGAGATCCAAATCTCTCAGTCTTTGGTGAATCCTTTTTTTTTTTGGTGTTGTGTACGTGTACTTTAGTGCAGACAAAAGAAACCGCAAAGCGCAAAGTCGTCCCTCAAAGGCCTCTCAGGCTGTTTCTAACCAATTACCATACACACTCTGACACTAGCGATGCTATCCGTGTGCCTGTTTTCAGATTTTTTTAAGTACCACCCATATTTTATCTTTATCAATATCAATATTAGGTAAAAATATTTTGCGATTTGAGGCAAATAGAAAATGCAAATCTAAAAAGTGACACTAAATTATTTAATATTTAATATTTAATATATATCAATGTGTTAAAAATCACGTATGAAACTTCAACAAAATTACAAAAATATGTATATTATCAAAAGTTTATAGTCATACTTACAATAATTTATTAACTTTTACTCAAATAACAAACAAGAACCTTGGATGGAAAGGAGGATATTGGAATGAATTTCAACTCATTCAGCTTGCATATATCAAAATCAACACATAACCCAACAATAAAGTACCTAATCAACCCACACCCACTTTGATAGCACTCAAAATCAATGGGAAGTAAGCCCCACGACAAAGATCGTTGGCTTGGGTTAGAGAGGAAAAGGTGCACAGCATTGATGGAAAAGACAAGAAAAGAGAAGAGATGTCAGACTAAAAGAGAAGAGGTGGTGGACTGGCGGTTGGCTGGCTGCCGTATCATGTGAAAATATTGATGGAATTGAGAAAAGTGAGCCGAAAGATGAGATGATAATTGTGAGAAAGGCATAATTGGGGGTGTTAGGTTAAGATTAGTTAAGGGTGAGATTGGTATTCACAAAAATAAAATTATTTATTTTATAAGTTTTTATATAATTAGTAATTTCTCCATCCTTCTAATCCTTTTCATAGTTTTCACTTTTCATATCTATGGTTAAATTTAATTGCCAAATCTTGTGCATGACATTGGAAAAGCTGGGTGCACAAAGATACATTCAGATGTACTTTACTCTATGTGTGGACCAAAGTTTTGCTTAACGAAAATAACAGAGGGTGTTTCGAAGTATGATGAGGAGCATGGTTATGGGTTTTATTGCAATTCAAACATAGTTGTGTTAGTTTTTTGCATAATAAATTTTACCCATTTTTAAGATTTTCGAGAGAGAAAAAAGAGTGGAAGGTTGAAGAAAAGAAAAAAAAACAGTTTTGAACAAAAAAATAATAAATAAAATTATAAGATAATTAAATAACAAATTTTAATTCTTAGTGGACATTTTTAATTCGTCTTAAAACACATGATATTCTTTTATAATTTATCTTATTTAATAAAATATATTATAATTTGAGATTAAAAAAGATATAATAAGTATTATGATTTAAATTTTTAAATTTTTTATATATCATTTTTTTAAAATAATTATATAAATTAGTTAAATTAAATTCTGAATTTTTGTCAATTTATTTATTAGTAATTAGATATTGATAACAGTGACATAGTCCTTCGTTTGAAAGCCATGAAAATGGTTTTCGAAAAATATTTTCCACATTTTCTTATATTTTAAAGGAACAAAATAACTCGATCAACTAAAAACAATTTCGGGTTAATGGCAAAACTAAGGGGGAAAACGCGAAATTGTCTTCTAGCGAAAGACAATTTCCTTGAAGAAAAAACTTATTCTTGTTTCCATCTCCCTAAAAAAAACCCACTGTAAGCTCCAAATCTTTATCCTTTCTCCCCTAATTCTTTTGCCTTCCTTCTATTCTATTTTGTTCACAACCATCATAAAACTCACAGACGTACCATTATTCTCCATCTTTCTTTTTGCTCTTCAATCGTTCGCCAATTGTTCTTCAATCTCCCATAAAACCCACAAATCTCCCACCATCTTCAATCCTCCTTCATCTCTTTCATTTCCTTCTATCTTCATCATCATTTTCCATCATCAACCACTATATGTAATGATTTAAGCAATTTTTTTTTCTTTTCACACTTCTTTTCAAGTTGTAAAGGGAACCCAAACTTTTTATGCCTCCAAAACTTAGAAAAACATTTGAAGCTAGATGAATTTGATGAAAATCCTTCAACCAAGCTCTACCCACATTTGTATGTATATTATAAATATTGATGAATCTGTTTTTGTTAAAATTATAGAAAACTTTGATGAAAGACACTTATGAATGTTGGTAGAAAATATTTTCGATTATTATCATTCAAACATAGAAAAATATTTTCCTTTAGTCTCCAAACAATCGAGAATATTATGTTTTCTGAAAAACGTGTTTCATGGAAAATATTTTACTTCCGGAAGCTGATTTTAAGCCACTAAACGGAGCCTTAGATAAAATGTGGATTTAGTCTTCTTACAGTATTCTTATAATAATTTTAATATTGAAAATATTTTTATTTTTTGAGATTTTGAATTTAAATTTACTTGCAAAATGGTGTATGTCTTTTATATGTAAGTAATATTTTCCCAAATTTTCTAATTCGAGAAAATTTATTTTTACGAGTTTGATATACATATTTTTGTAAATAAGCTATTTGAATCTTGTTTTTATCATTTAGCTGATAATTTAAAATTTTTTCATAACTTGGGATTTATAGGCAAATCATCTAAGTTTAATTCAATATGACATTATTTTGTACTAAACATGTCCATTGACCAAGCTATCCACTTTGCTTGGTAGGTTTGATAAAATTTAAGTCTGACTTTGGACATAATTTTTCAAACCCTAATTGTTAAATTAATAAAAAATAAATTTTATTTAATTTTAATTATAAAATATATTTTAAATATTAATGTTTTTATATATATTTAAAAAATTTTAGGCCAAGACAAACCTTAGTCAAGATTTATCAAAGGCAAATGGCCAACCATGGCCATTTCTAATTTGTACATTACGTGCCACTCTATGCAACTTGAAATCCATATATTTCACTATAGAAAAATAGGTTTTTAGCGATGTTTATTTGCTCTTTTAACAAACGCCGCTAAACATTTAATGACACTCGACAAAAATACTATTAAGAATACCGATTATACTTGTGTAATAAAATTTAGTGATGTATTTACGACAAACCCTATAAGTTAATAGTATTTTTGTGATAAATGCTTTCAAATTTAATGACGTTTTTGTGATAAATACTTTAAATTTAGTGACTATTTTTGTTCTTTAACGGTGTTTTTGAAATCTTACATTTAACAACATTTTTTTTACTATAAACACTTATAAATTCAGGAAGTTATTATATTAAATTTTTATTTCTTTTCAATATTTATACTATAATTATAACAAAAAATATTAAAAATAAAACTTATTATAAATTTTAAATTTATAAATTAAATATTACAATTTTTTATATATTTAAACATATAATTTGTTTCACTACATTAAAAAGTTTATTACAATAAAATTCAAATTGTTTTCCAATTACATAAATTAAGTAAAAATTAAAAAAGCATGAAATTTATGGCTGTCGACAGTTGGAGCACTGCAATTTGATAAAAGAATTTTTTCACCATGATCACTAATGTGCTAAAAAATCTAGTGAATAAAGTAAATAAATTTTTACATATAATAATAATCTATTTATGATATTAAAAAATATAAATAGTTACTAAATTGAATACCTGAGTTGGTTGATTACCTATATTGGTTTTTGAAATTTGTTGTTACACAAAATTTATAAAAGTATCGAATTGTTCATGCAAATGCTGATATTTTATATGCTTCTAATCCATTTTAGCATACTCTTTGTAAATTCTAGCACACTCTTCTTCTAGTCTAGCACGCTCTACTTATCTTTCTGTTTCCATTTGCTTGACACATAAATGCATAGTTTGCCAACCCTTTCTTAATATATATATGTCTCGTAAAGATTGATTTATTGAAAATATAATGTTTGAGAGTTACGTTTATAATAATTAGATGGTGTTAGACCTAAACTGAGACCTTGGAACCATTAATGTCTTTTTTTTTCTTGCGAATTCTATAAATATTCGATCTTTCAAATCTTGAATGTTGACTAAACAAGAATGTTACTTCAATCTCAGTGATTTTTTTTTTGGTTTTATCTTATAAATTAATCAAATAAAATTATTAAATTTAATAATTAATTTATAATATATTTACAATAGTAAATTTATTGTTTGTATAAAACAATTTCAAGAAATTACCACAATTTTCTTGAATTTCAATATTCATGTAAAATTCATATTTTTTCATATGGATTATTTGAAAAAGTTTCATATGTCCAATTTTTTTATCATTCCATTATCTATATAAAAATACATATTAAACACACATAAATCACAACTTATTCATGTATATCAAAAGTGGCAATCAAGTTTAACAATTCGAATAAGGTTAATAGCATGTATTGGAGCTATCAAACTATTAAAATAAAAATATAACTACAAATTTATATTTTTACCTTTTGATGACACATAAAGTTATAAACACATATAAATCATAATTTTTTCATACATACCAAATGTGATAGCTAAGTTCAATCTTTCAGATAAATTTAATATCGCTTATTGGAGTTATCTAAACTGTTAAATCAAAAATATAATTACATATTTATATTTTAATCTTTTAACAGTAAAAAAAGTCCATTGAACTACATGCTTTAGATAATGTTTTGATTCAATTTGATTATTGTATTAGTAAGTTATATATTTTTAATTTTAAATATATATTTAAAAGAAATTTGTAACAATGTTCTCAAAGCAATTTTTTATTATATATTATATAAATTATTAATTTTATCACCTAACACATTAAAAATCATGAATACAATTATTAATTATTATACTTAATATAAAATTATTACTATAAATAGTATATTAACTAATATTAAAAAGTGTAAAGTGCCTAGAGTCACTCGTTGGTAAAATTTTATTTAAAAATATTGAAATATTAATAAATATTATTTTAGTATTTTAATAATAAATAAATACAGTAATAAACAGGTATAGTTGGGCTTTGAAAGGAAGATTGGGCTCGAACCGGACTTGACCCACATAAACGATAGCCGAGTAGGCCGGATCACGTCCTACAAATAAACTGACCCTCGTAAAACAGTAAATAAATATTTATTTTCTTATATACTTCAAATATTATGAGCGGGAGTTTCTTTTCTCTCACTTTCACATTTTCTTTTTCAAAATTTTTCTGTTTAAAAAAAAAGTTATTTCTCTCTCAAGAAACTTTCTCTAGATTTGCTTTGTTCACGCGATTCAAACTCACGAGTACTTTCTCCTTCTCTATTCTTCGAATTTATTTTTCTTCTATTTCATTTGATTTTTTAATTTTACTCTTCTTTTCCCTCCCCGATGCTACTTTTGATTGCCGACTAAGAGCAGGAAAAACGGAAGTCAAATGAAAAAAATTCAAAAACCTTGAGCAATTAGCCATTTTGAAATTTCCTTCACTTTCTCATCTCCAAAACGGTGCTCAATTTTGAAATCTTTAGTAGATTTAGGGTTTATGTTATCTGTTCATCTTGAAATATTGAAATTAATTATAATATAAAGTGATTTTAGATTCAAATTACTTACTTTATTTTATATATATATATTTTTGTTGCTTAGCTTGAAAAGAGGAAGCGTATAAGTAAAAACTGCGGAATTAAAAGGATGGGAATAGAGGAGTACCATGTAATAGAGCTAGTAGGTGAAGGTTCTTTTGGTAAAGTATACAAAGGAAGGCGAAAATACACTGGCCAGGTAATTACTCCATTTTCCATTTCCTTTTTTAATATAAAATTTAATTTTTTTGAGTTAATTTTTGTAATTTTATTATGTTTTACAATATCAGACTGTAGCAATGAAGTTTATAATGAAGCATGGGAAGACTGAGAAGGACATCCATAATTTAAGACAGGAAATCGAGGTATTATCTAATGGATTTTCTTGTAAGATTTGTCAATGACTATGCTGTTTAATCTTTATATATATTTTTGTGATTTGAGATTTAAATTCTTACTTATTGCAGATTCTGCGAAAGTTGAAGCATGAAAATATCATTGAAATGGTTGATTCATTCGAAAGCCAACAAGAATTCTGTGTTGTCACTGAATTCGCGCAAGTAATGACCACCTTTCTATATATATAATGCGCACAGCACAACTGATTAATTTGAAAATATGAGAAGTTGATGGAATTTCTTGCTATGTAGGGTGATCTGTTTCAGATTCTAGAGGATGATAAGTGCCTTCCTGAGGAACAAGTTCAAGCAATTGCTAAGCAATTGGTACTTTCATATTACAAATGTTGCTGTTGAAGTGAATTGTTTGATATCTGCCTTCAATCTCACTAGTTTAACAAGGAATCCCCTTTATCTGATGTTATTGGGTAGGTGAGAGCATTGCATTACTTACATTCCAATCGGATCATCCACCGTGACATGAAGCCACAAAACATTCTCATTGGTGCTGGCTCTGTTGTTAAGGTTGGTCAGTTAGATGATATGCATGTGGTTTTATATATTGAGTTTAACATTGTGCCTGTTTAGAGTTGTCATGTTCTGATTATTGAGTAAGGAGTTGGTAGTATTTTCTTTTTATCATTATGCTAATTGTGCACCTTTCATATTCATGTCCCACTCTATGGTATGGCCTCTTTACTTTATTCTAATTTTTCTTCAAAGAACATCTTTTGTTTGTAACTTGTGCAGTCTTTCACTTATTGCAGCTTTGTGATTTTGGGTTTGCACGTGCAATGTCCACAAATACTGTTGTTTTACGATCCATAAAAGGTTTGCCTAATATTAGTATCTATATGGCTTTTTAACTTTTCTCTTATGCAACCACTTTAGAGAGTATCCGGTTGGTTTTCCTTCATTTATGCTCGCTCAATAATGCTTTACAAATGTTTTTCAGGCACGCCTTTGTACATGGCCCCAGAGCTCGTGAGAGAACAGCCCTACACCCACACCGTAGACCTCTGGTCTCTTGGAGTTATATTGTATGCACACATTTTCCCTAATTTTATAGTGAGGAAACTCTTTGTTTAATTGGTTTTTTGCTAGAGGAATCAGATGTGCCATCATTTCCTTGTTCTGTTCTTCACATTGAATTGAACACTAGCCATAAATCCCGCAGGTATGAATTATTTGTTGGACAGCCTCCCTTTTATACAAATTCAGTATATGCACTCATCCGGCACATAGTTAAGGTACACATTAGGAATCTTCTTTCAAAAAAAAAAATTATCATTCAGCCCATTATTAAGGCACAATTACTGAAAATATTTTTTTGTTAAAATATAACTTTAAATTATGGTGTGCCAAGGGAACACTAATTTACAAGCAACATTTCAGGATCCAGTCAAATACCCCGATGAAATGAGTGCAAGTTTCAAAAGCTTTCTGAAGGGATTGCTTAATAAGGTTTTTCTGTTAGCTAAATCCAAAATTTATATGTTAATTAGCTTGAACTTTGCATTCAAGTCAAAATCTTGATTTCGTTTCTAATATCATTTGAAACAGGTACCTCAAAATCGGTTGACATGGCCGGAACTCCTTGAACATCCATTTGTTAAAGAAACCTTCGATGAAGTGGAGGCCAGGGTAATGTACCTGATGTCTGCAAAAGTATTATACTTCCATTAAACAGAAAAGCAATTAGAAACTTTTGTTTACTCTAAAGCAGCTAAACTTTATACTCCTTGCAAGACAATTGTGACCTTATCTTCCATAGAAGAGAAGCTTGTCCCTTTTTTCTTTTCTAAATAAATAGAATATGGAAGTCTAATTTTAGTGAAACATTCAAGGAGGTGCGTGCTACAATCACTACAGCCAGGCAATCTGATTTTTCATTGAGGGGTGAGGGAAACAATATCCAAACACCAAATGGTATATTGTCCCTTTTGAGAGCATTGCGTTCACTGCTTTTATTAACTATATAGCTTTTACTGTTTTTTGACCATCATGAACTACTATGTCATAGGTAAAGGCAATTCTCCTGCTGCTTCAGAGACTTGTAATGCTCCAAGCCTTCAGAGTGATGCTCAACAACATAATCCTAATACTGTCCAGGGAAATTCAGTACTTAATGAGGAGTTTCCTGGATTTTCAAATCCCAATGATGTTAAACAGACAGGTAGACAATGTTAAGATGTTGTTTTCAGTTCCTATTTGTGCATTAGTGTTGTAGAACAAGAGAGGGAAAGAGAACAATATTAAAAATCAGAATCAAAATAAGGGATAGTAAAAGAAGTTCGCAAGAATCAGAAAAATTGGGTGGGTTGGGGAGAAAAAGATCAGAGAGGATCAATAGAGAAAATAATCTCAAGGTCAATATTTCACAATCTCAAGAATTGATTATCCAAAACCACCTAGAAACTAAAAACATAGGTACCTATACCTAAAACCTAAACCTGATATAGGTGGAAAACACAAATATAACCCTAATTCCCTAACACTTGGATGATAAGGAAAACACTAATTTAATATAATATAGCTGAAATAGTAAAAACCAATTGCGGAAAACTTGAGAGTATATAGAAAAACTTGTTTGTTGAATCATACAAACACCATAAGTTTAAATACAGCTAACTAGAAGGTAAACTAGGAAACTAAATATTCCTAAATCTAATCCCTATAATCAAGGGATTGTTTATCATGATATTCTGTTTTTAATCCTAGGAATACAAATTTTCAATTTTAGGGATACAGATATATACATATTACAATCAGTTACACAGATTACAACTAATTGTAACTAAATGTTTTTCCCACTCTCCCTCGAGCTGGTGAATGGGTGTTTTCCATTCTTAGCTTGGAAATAATTTCTTGAAATGTTGCATTGTTGAGACCTTTACTTAACACATCTGCAAGTTGACCCTTGGTTAATACATATGATGTGCAAATCAATCCACTGTTTCCTTTATGAAATGCCAGTTTATTTCAATGTGTTTTGTTCTATCATGTTGCATTGGATTGTGTGTAATGTTTATTGCAGACTTGTTATCATAGTAAAGTCTCATTGGTGCATCCCATTTGATCTTCAAGTCTTCTAGGATAATCTTTAACTATAGTAGTTCACAAATTCCTTGAGTCATTGCCTTAAACTTTGCTTCAGCACTTGATCTTGCCACCACATTCTGTTTTTTACTCCAAGTTAAAGATTACCACCTAGAAAAGTTCAGTAGCATGGGGTAAATCTTCTATCAGTTATCGAACTTGCATAATCAACATTTGTATATGCCTTTAGTACCAACCCCGAATTTCTTTTAAACAAGATACCTCTCCTAGGATTAGCATTCAAATAGTATAGTACATGGTAGACAGCCTGTAGGTGCACTTTTTAGGACTATGCATAAATTGATTTATCATACTCACAGCATATGCTATGTCAGGTCTAGTATTGAGAGATAAATAAGTCTTTCAACTAATCTTTGGTACATCTTTCTATCTACAACAACATCTTCATTAGCTTTTCCAAACTTATGATTAGGATCTATAAGGGGTACTTGCAGGTTTACATGCGAGCTTCCCAGTTTCCTTCAAAAGATCCATCACATATTTCTGTTGTGAGATAAAAATACTATGCCGTGAGTGTGCTACTTCAATTCTTAAGAATTACTTCAATCTCTCTAGCTCTTTTATCTCAAATTCTCTAGCCAAACACTATTTTAGAGATTCTCTCTCTTTTTCATCATCTCTAGTTACAATTATATCATCAATATATATTGTGGAAATTAAATGTATATTGAAAAACTGCTTATATGAATTATACAAGAATCTTAGGTTTATATACAACTAACTAGGGGTTAAACTAGGAAACTAAATCTTCCTTAATTCTAGGGATACAAATACTTAATTCTAGAGATACAAATATAAATATACAGATTACAAGATTACAACCAACTGTAAATAAGTGTTTTCCTACACTCCCCCTCAAGCTGGTGAATAGGTGTTTTCCATTCCCAGCTTGGAAATAATTCCTTGAAATGTTGTACTGCTGAGACCTTTAGTCAACACATCTGCAAGTTGACCCTTGGTTGATACATAAGGTGTACAAATCAACCCACTGTCTAGTTTTTCCTTTATGAAATGCCGGTCTACTTCAATGTGTTTTGTTCTGTCATGTTGTACAGGATTGTGTGCAATGCTTATTGCAGACTTGTTATTACAGTAGAGTCTCATTGGTCCATCCCACTTGATCTTCAAGTCTTCTAAGATAATCTTTAATCATAGTAGTTCACAAATTCCTTGAGCCATTGCTCTGAACTCTGCTTTAGCACTTGATCTTGCCACCACATTCTATTTTTTGCTCCTCCAAGTCACAAGATTACCACTTAAGAAAGTACAGTAGCCTGAGGTGGATCTTCTATCAGTTACTGAACCTGCATAATCAGCATCTGTATATGCTTCTAGAACTAACCCCGAATTTCTTTTGAAATTAAGATACCTCTCCAGGATTGGCTTCCAAATAGTGCATTATACGGTAGACAGCCTGTAGGTGCACTTCTTTAGGACTATGCATAAATTGACTTACACACTGCAAGCATATGCTATATCAGGTTTAGTATGTGAAGAGATAAATGAGTCTCCAACAATTTTGTACATCTCCTCTATTTATAACACATCTTGTCCATTTTAATTAGGTCTATAGGGGTTTTGCAGGTTAACCGTGGCAAGCTTTCCAGTTCCTTCAAAAGATCCATCACATATTCTGTTGAATATAAAAATACCATGCCAGTGAGTGGAAGCTACCTTCGAATTCCTAGGACAGTACTTCAATCTCCCTAGCCTTCTTTAATCCAAATTCTCTGAGCCAAACACTGTTTATAGAGATTCTCTCCTCTTTTTCATCATCTCTCTAGTTACAATTATATCATCAACAATACACTAATAGAACTGAGACTCTCCCTGAATCAGAAGTGCTTGATAAACAATGTGTGATCTCCTTGACTCTGTTTATATCCCATTGCTAGCATCACTTTGGCAAATCTCCCGAACCAAGCTCTAGGAGACTGTTTAAGGCCATATAAAGCCTTTTTCAGCCTGCATACTTTGTTTGCTTCTAGATGACCTCCAAATCCTGGTGGAACCTTCATATATATTTTTTCTTCCAAATCACCATGTAGAAAAGCATTCTTTACATCAAATTGTTGAAGCTGCCAATTGTAATTTGCAGCCAATGATAACAAAATTCTAACTGTATTCATCTTGGCAACTGGAGCAAAGGTTTCCTAGTAATCTACTCTATAGGTTTGAGTGTAGCCTTTAGCCACTAACCTGGTTTTATACCTTTCAATAGTACCATCTGCCTTGTATTTTACAGTGAAAACCCATTTACACCCCACTGAGTTTTTTCCTTTAGGCAATTCTACCAGTTCCCATGTCTGATTTTTCTCTAAGGCCTCCATTTCTATTTTCATGGCTTGCCTCCATTTCTCATTGGATAATGCCTCGGATAATGTAGTTGGAACAAAAATAGTGTTTAGGCTCACAAGAAAATTTTTGTGGGATGGTGAGAATTTTTCAAATGACACAAAATTAGATATTGGGTATAGTGGATGCTTGGTACATTCTCTGATTCCTTTCCTAATGGCAATAGGCAAATCATAATCACTAGTTATAGTTTTAGGAGATTCATGATCATTTTGAGAAACAGAGTCAAAAACTGTAGTTACCTCATTTCCAGAGTTAGGATCAGGTTCTTAGACTGGCACTGGTTCAGGATCTGGAACTTTTCTTCTTGAGTACACTTGTAATTCCTTCATAGAATCAAGAACAATATTATCCTTTGTCACATTTTCTGTATTTGGAATGGGTTCAGACTCAAATTCAGTGTTTGACTTGGGCTTAGCAGAAACATGTTTCGACTCAGAAGAATTAATGGGTGTAAATGTTGAAGAAGGGGGCAAATCAAGCAAAAAGAAGTCTTTATCCTTATCTTCCATGAATGAAGTCTCCCCCTGAAGATAAGGTTGAGTAAAAAATGGTTTATTTTCTTCAAAAGTGACATCTGCAGACACAGAATTTTTTGGTAGGAGGATGATAGCATTTATATCCTTTTTGAGTTGAAGAATAGCCCACAAAAATACACTTAATCGCTCTTGGATCCAACTTTCCCCTGTTATGACTATGAACATGAACAAATTATGTACAACCAAATATCCTAGGTGTGAGATTGTTTGTGGTATTGAGGTCGGGATAAAATTGTGAGAGTAGTTCCATAGGAGTTTTAAATCCTAAAACTCTTGAAGGTAACCTATTTATAATGTATGTGGCAGTGAGAACAGCTTCCCCCAATAAGATTTAAGTACATTTGCTTGAAAAAGAAAGGCTCGGGTTGTGGCTAGTAAATGACTGTTTTTCCTCTCTGCCACTCCATTCTGCTGTAAGTATTAACACAAGATGACTCATGGATAATCCCCTCTTTTTGGAAATAGGTGTATAGACTATGGTTGAAGTAGTCTCTTACATTATCAGACCTAAATCTCTTGATTCTCACTCCAAATTGATTTTGGATCATGTTTTGGAAGCTTAAAAACACACTATTCACATCTGATTTGGATTTAAGTAAAAAAACCCAAGAGACCTTAGTACAATCATCTATGAATGAAACAAATCATCTATGAATGAAACAAACCATCTCGCACCATAAATATTAGGAATTGTAGAGGGACCCCAAATGTCACTATGAATCAAGTAAAAGGGAGTAGAACTTCTTTTGTTACTGATTGGAAAAGACACACGTTTATGTTTTGCAAATTCACAAATATCACAATGAAAATCTTCAACATTTAATCCTTTGAACAAAGAAGGAAACATGTTTCTCAAAGTTCCAAAAGAAGGATGTCCAAGACGAAAATGATAAAGCCAAATTTTGTCTTTATTGGAAGATTTTTCAAAAAGAAATGACAAGGTAAACTATTTTTGATACTACTTGTGCTATTTGATGTCTCAAGATAGTATAGTCCATCTTTCTCCTTAGCAAGTCCAATCATCTTCCCCGAACTTTGGTCCTGAAATTCACAATAAGAGGGATAAAAAGTTACTTTGCAATTCATATCTCTTGTAAGTTTTTGTATAGATATCAGATTAATAGATAATCCAGGAACATGAAGAACATTTTTTAGAACAAAC